GACACCAGGCTTCAAGAGCGCAGCCGAGTCGGCTTTTGTAGCTGAAAGGGAGGCACAGATTGATTCATTGGTGAGGAGGATCGCTGAACAGAGGCAGCTTGAACAGGAGCTTCGTATCAATATAGAGGTGGTGAAAGTGAAAGGGAAATATGTTGTTATTGAAATGTGTGCAGAACTTGGAAGCGGAGCGAAGTCGTGAAAGGGAAGAGGCTAAGGTTCGCTTGGAGACAGTTGAAAATGAGGTGGAGGGGTTTTTGCCGCTCAGTCGGGGTGTATCGTTGGCGACTCAGATGAAAAGCTGGCAGCGAAAGCATGCGGAAGATATTCAGCAAGTGCAGAGATTACGCGATGAGAAGAAAGCAGCTGAAACGTGAGAAGGTTGGATGTTGGCGGGTTATTAATGCGGTGTGTTTTGAGGTACCACGCTGAGAGGATGAGTGCAGCTGAAGCGAGGTCTCAGAAGCAGGAGACGGAGATTGACGTACTTCGACAGGAGCTCAAGGACGCTGAGGCAAGGACACAGGTAAAGCTTGGCTCTCTGTAGTACTTGATGGTCATTGCGATAGAGTGAGTCTCGGGAGAGAGCATCGCTGGCGCGAGCACTGAGGACTGCTGAGGACCGTCTTGGAGGGGCAGAGGTTGAGGTAGTTCAACTGAGAGCAGATCTAGATGAGATCTGCCGTGAGAATTCTGAGTTGAAGGACCGGTAGGCTCGACTGGTGCTGTACGGTGTGTATGGGGTGTTGTGAGATACATGACGGCAGGGGAACGATTCGAAAGGCTTATGGAAAGTGAAGAGGAGCACACCAAGGAGCTGACCAAACAGCTTGAGGATGAGGTAAGTCTGGCATAAAACCTATAATGTTCCTGGGGGGAATTACTTACAATTTTCCACGTATGGCTAGGAACACATTCTTCAATCAGTTTCCCATGTACATGTCATCATCACATTAGTGGCATTTTATCCATTGTTATCAAGCACAGAGGAACGTTATCTCTCAAAGTCAAGACTCGTTTTCTCGATTCGAGTGACATCTGTCCGTCCACCGGACAGTTGGTTGGGAGTGTGGGAGAGGACCAAACACTGTGAACCCGAAGCCCGAACCCTCTCTGGGACTTACCTTGGGCCCTAGGTTCACAGATCATGTTTGGTCACACTAACTATATCACGGAATATGGCCCATGTTTCGTGACATATGTTAGTGTCCCCCAACCAACTTGGGACAAGACTTTAAAAAAAAAGAAGAACGGGACGAGACTGGTTCATAGGTGGAACCATCTCGGTCTCACAACATACAGTTCGAACGATAACATCAGGACACCAACATATTTCTCATTTCGTGCACTTGCTTGAACTTGCTTTCTTACGAAACCTTCACTTACATGGGCCCCTGGGCATAATTTTCTGATCGAGATATGCCACATAGGTTAAAGCCGCTCGAGAGAAGCTTGAGAGATATAAGACCAAGTTGCAGAAGAGTCAGAGTGGTGAAGCGCAACTACGAGAGAGTCTGTCTCGAGAGCAGAGTATGAGTAGGGATCGGGAGAGGGAGGTCGATAGGCTCATGCGAATGGTCGAGGATGAGCGGACAGCGTAATAGGAATATATAGCCTTGGGTCTTGGAGCATGCCAGATGGGTTAGGAAGGAGAACGCCCTTGCTGAGCTGAGCCGGGAGGAGATGATGCCGGCTAGGGTACATGAACAG